CCTCTGGCTTTTTTCCCCTGGGACATATGTGCACACTGCTGATTTTTCTTACTTATCTTGTGCATTGAATAATATCGTTTTCTAACTCTCCCATGAAGAGGGTATCCACTGTGGATGCCTCTGTAAGGATAATATTATGATCTGGGGTGTGAAGACTGTCCTTTTGATGACTTGTTTCTGAAATGAGTGATTCAACAATTCCAACTGTTGGCATGCCAGCCCTGGGAAATGGGCGGTGAGGGCCGCTGTACAGTGATCGAGCTCTGGGAACATGTCTGCTGTCTTCACAAACCCAATAAAAATAGACTGCCAGGGACAGCTGACAGCACTCCCAGGCAGGCTTAGGCCCAGGCTGCCTTCTGTCAACAATTTCATGCCATTTCAAAAGACTATGGGGTGTTTTTTTTTTTTTTTTAATGTTCTAAAATGTTGTTTATGGAAGAATATCAAGTGTCTCTAGACTCACTTGTGGTCTCATCGTATGTTGTGACCTGGTTAACTATATTTTTTTAAATCTTTGAGGTTTAAAAAAAAAAATCAACCTATTTTCTGAAGGACCATTATGGCCACAGGGTTTATTGGATGTGAAGCAGTACAGCAGAGTACTTGATACATCAAGTGGGTTTCAGGGTGGCTGAAGCATTGTCTGAGGGCCTTGGGTGTTCTCTCAGCCTCGAAGCCACAGGGGCAGGAACTATAGAAGAAGACAGACCAAGTAAATCAAGCATGATTAGTTAACAACGTGGTATTTTGGAATATTCTGGAAAGATGCTACATTGACCACCCTTGGGACCATTCCTGGATCTACTGATACCACAGTTTCTCCCAGAGAGCACTTCTGTCTTGTCCCTGAGGGAAATACTAGTTAGGAGACCCAAAGAGGTCTAGACTTGAGACCCTCTCAGCCATATCTGAAGGTCCTGGACTCAAATTCTCAGCTGTAAGAGCCAGCACTGGCCTCCCAGTAAGTGTTGCTGATTACCTATAGGGATCATTTATTTTTAACCAACCTGTCTTTCTTTTTTCTTTTTTTTTTTTGTACTGGGGATCAAACTCAGATCCTTTTGCTTGTGAGGCAGGCGGCAGAACCACTGAGCTAAATCCCCGGCCCAACCTGTCTTTCTGTTCCTCATCTCAGTGACATAGAGGGTGACCTCCTTGGAGGACAGGGAACCTCTGACTGGAGAGCTGGGTCTCAAGTTTTGGGGAAAAGCTTAGATGTTCGGGAAAGGAAACAAGAAAACAACAGAGTGAGATTAGGTTCCTGAGAAGAGGGTTTATCTAGAAGAGGTCTGACTCTGCCATCAAAAGCACAGGTGTGGGCCCAGGGATTTAGCTCAGTGGTTCCACCACCAGCCTGAAAAGTGCAAGGTCCTGAGTTCGAGCCCCAGTACCAAAAAAAAAAAGCACAGGTGTGAATGTCTGAGGAAGCCACTGGGATTCTAACATTGGATCTTGATGCCCCAGGAAGCAAAGACCAACTCCAACCCAGTCATTTTAGGTTCCCTCACCCCCACTGATTTTCTGGGTTCCAACAAAGAAATGAGAGAAAGCCTTCGGACTCTGCAGTGCCCCGGGCAGTGGAGATGGGGTGTTCCTACAGTCTAGTTAATTTAGAAATCCCAATTGGGCTCATTTTAAGCTTTTCAGCCCTGCTCATTATTTTCTTCCCGTTTCCTGGTTTCCTTTCCAAATGACTGAGCACTCTTTAAGCTAAGAAACATCTGAGTTATAATTTGTGCACTTTCCTCCTCAACCAAATATTTATTTTTGTCAGCAATTATACATATAAATGAATACAAAAAGCGATGAATGTAAAACTGAGTCCCAAACTCAGTTTTTGTTTTTGGTACTGGAAATTGAGCTACCTACATCCCTAGCCTCTTTTTTATTTTGAGACAAGTTCCTCAGCCCAGTTAGACCACAGCTCTTGCCCATGCTGATCCTGCACTGCTTAGAGTGCTCACAGAGAAAGCCAGCGTAGAGTGGCTCTCGCCCAGTCTCACTTTGTTCTAGAGGCAGAGCCTTTGCAAGGTTTGTCTGATTTTAGTTGATCTCCACTACCTCCAAGCTGTTGTTTTTTTGTATTTTGCACAGAGTTTACTGGCTGGAGGCTTAGTCCAATATAAATTAGCCTACCATTCTAAGAAGCAGAATTCCTCAGTTTTTCTATGGATTCTTTCCCCTTTAGTTACCTCCACTAAGAAAACAAAACAACAACAACAAAAAACATTGTTTATGTTTCATGGATAATGTCCCTTTAGTCCTTTTCTGAGGATATGATAGGTTTTTAAAAAGTTTTCTTCAGGGCCGGGGATTTAGCTCAGTGGTTCTGCTGCCTGCCTTGTAAGCGCAAGGACCCGAGTTTGATCCCCCTACCTAAAAAATAAATAAAAAAGTTTTCTTCCCCAAGAATAGTCCAGTTTATATTCTTCTGTTTATTGGTTTTGATCTTAAACATTTATTTGTGTTAAAGGGTTTTTTCCTGGTGACTTTTGTTCTGTAATAATGTTTAAGAGTAGGAGGGTGACAATCAGATTGAAAGCTCTGTGCTGGAGCCTGTATGTGGTGCAGTTCACAGTAGAGTGACCAGAGTGGGTTGGTGATTGGGTAGCCCCAAGTGCCAGTTCTTTAACTGTATTCTTACAGGCTGCTCAGATTCCCCAGAGACATTTCTTCCTGTCTCATCTCCAGAAGGGTTAGGTTTGGCTACCTGCTTTCTGGGAGCGCCCATTCAGCAGGCAGATAGTCACTTGGTCCCTCTCTTTGGGAACTGACAGTCTTGCCCTCAAATGTACTTGATGCCTGGTGTCCTGGGACCCTCAGTTTTGTCCCCTTTGGAGAATAAACATCCAGACTGGGGTTTGGAGTCAGGAGGGCTCTGGGACTGCTCCTCAGCCTTTTAACTCATCTGTTCTGCTTCAGTTCCCCTTCCCCACTTTCAGAGGTACCCGCTGTCCTCACCTGAGTCCTTTGAAGATTCTTTGGACAAATTGGGCTCTTGACTTTCCATATGGCCACTCTCCAGTCTCAATTTCTTAAGTATATAATCTGTTATCCCTCCTTATCTGCTTTCCAGCCTCAAATTCTGCAGGCGGTTTCTTCCCTGAGTTTCAGAAGGGAAGGCAAGAAACTCTGAAGCCAACAGCTGGAAACTTTAAGAAGTTGCTTTCATTGCATTAGTTGATTAGGTTGCAGAATCTCAAAGTCCATGGATTTCGAGTACTTCTGGGCGTTCAAACTAATAGGAAACATTTTGCCAACAAACAAATGAAAACAAACCAAAATAAATGCTTGTGAATTAGGTTAGTACATATAATAGTGGCAAATGTAGGTGAATGCATTTAAGAATAAACAAAAAGGTAAATGATTTGGGTTACATGGTGGTGCAGGAGGAGACTAGGAATCCATGTAGACCTTTTCTTGGGGCCCTTGCTGAGGGCCTCTGTGTGTAGGATGCCATGGGTGGATCTTGTTCTTTGCTTCAAGGTAATGAAGTAGGGCTGGGGAAGCTCTGAGCAGGGAGAGAGAAGTGATAGCTTTACAAGGACAGGTGGTAAGCACTGGAATTCTTCAGCTGGGGTGCAAAGAAGTGCATATTCACCTTAAACCACGGCCAGTGTGGAGAAGGCAGATGTGAATCCAGACATCAGATCCTGAGCTGCCTGGAATTGAGTTGCTTTTGAAACTGGAGCCATGAATTTAGCATAAATGTTAGCATAAATTTACCATGGTAGGTCAGAAACTTGAGAATCTATTACAACTAGTTCTTCTAGCATTCAGTTTAATTCTACAGGGATTTGGACAAATGTATGACAGAGAACTCCCTCTCCCCAGAGAGACAGGGTGAGGAGCTGAGTGATGCTGTCACACACATAACTTTTAGCATAGACGCTGGCGAGGACAGTATGGATAGTATGCTCTTACTGGGCTGCCAGATGGAAAATGAGAAGCTTGGTATACAAGGAAGAACTTGATCTGAATTAAGATCTAGGTTCAAATCCTGACTCCTCAGCTAACTCACTGTGACTTTGAGCAAGTTCCTAACCTTTCTGATCCTCTCAAGGCTCTGGTAAAGGTTAAATAAGCCAATTATATAAACCACAGAAGGATCAATTAAGCAAAGGTGTATGGATTCCCAAACTGAATTTGAGTCTTTAACACATACTTACTGAGCCCACACCTAATGCCAAGCTGTGTACATGTGCCTTCCCTGTTCCAGCAAGGCTCATGAAGTGAAGGCACAGCTCTGCTCTGTCCTGCAGCCCTTCCTCAGGATGGTACAAGGTTGTGCAGGTGAGCGTCCCCGGGTCCTCTCCTGGCTGCAGGTGCACAGTGGGAGAGAATGTCTGAGCATCTTATCCTACCTTAGCAAACATCCCCTCCTTCCCAGCTCCCTTCCAAATAACCCAGAGAAGGGTCTCGCGACTGCTGAGCAACCCGTGATGATGGTGACGTGGTTTGCAGGCCATGGCTGCTTTTGTTGACTCATTTCTCTTGAAAGCTTGGAGGAAGCGGAGGAACACAGGAACGGTGACTAGCGCTGTGACACTGTGGGGATTGAAGTTCACTCCTCTGTGACAAAAAGCGTGCTCGTACCCCACGAGTGCCTTCTTGGAGGTGATTTTAATCATGGTCCTGCCTCTCCCAGCCAGTCACGCTGCCCATCGCTTCATCTCAGGCAGGAAGTTCCAGGAGGTCTGCTGCTAAGCCCGGAAGCTTGCCTGGCATGCTGTAGTGCCTGGCCAGCAGCCATGCCCCTACCCACCCCAAACCCGGCTTTTAGGGCTCTTCAGTGTCACTCAGTTATTTTCTTGACCTGTGTGAGCTTGCCCTTTGGTCCAGCTTTACACGCCATCATGAGCTTTGATTTGAATGAGTGCCTGGCCTCCTGTCCCTGAAGCCTGTCGTGTTGGTGGGAGGGCTCCTCCTGTCCACCCTCTTGTCTTCCACCTTCAGAACTCCTCCTTTAACTGTCACCTCCTCTCTCCCTTTGCCAGAACTCACGTGCTGTGTGTCAGACTGAGCTACCCCTGTTCTGCCCTACCGTCGAGACTCGCTGCTGTCCTGCTGATGTCCACAGCTGTGCCTGGGAAGGAGGCAGCCCCGTCAGTGGGGACCTCCTCATGCCCTGATGGGCAGGGAAGGACCTGTAGGAGTGCACCTTCCGCATATGCGCCTCCACGCGTGGACCAGTGGCGCTGAGCTTCCTCCTCAGAGAACTCGCTGTCCCAGAGCCGAGCTGCCTGAGCACCAAGGGGAGGAGGGAGCCATGCCACCCCTCACTGCTCTTCAGGGCCCCACACCCTGGAATGGCAGCCTGCATGCATCACCCGCTCTTTCATGCTGTGTAATTATGTACAGGAGGACATGACATCCATCTGATGGATGCTTCTTAAGAAACATGCCAGTGTTTATGCAGTTGTTGGTGTTCCCTGTCTCCACTGTTACTGTCTCAGCTTTTTCCCCAATAGGCTCCCCCCCTCCCCAGGGAAGTGTTGCTCCTCCCCTGCTGTGTGTGTCCTGCACTCCACTCTGCCCCTCCTCAGGCAGGTTATCTGGCTGTGACAGAAGGGAAGGACTGCCTGGCAGCCTTTGGGCCCTTTTTAGCATCTCCGCCACTGGAGAGAGGTGGTGTCCTGCTCAGCTCCGCTTGGTCCCCCACGAGCTCTGAGGAGAGCAGCTGTTAAATGTGCCAGGCACGCATGTCACTGTGACAAAGCCATTTGCTTACTGCCCTGTTTCCTTCCAGACAAACCAGCTGAAGCAGAACCATAGCCAGGCAGGGCCTACAGCAGGTTGCAAATCACCAGTTTATTTTAAGCAGATAGACTGTTGGTGTCACCAGGGCTGGAGAGAGAACCAAGATTGTGGACGTGAGCTTGCAAAGCCCCATGGCCCCCACTCCTCTGGCCCTGTATTTCTGTGAGCACATGTGCCTAGGCCCAGGAGCCCCCCTGTTTTAGTGGTATGGGCTCCTCCTGCCTGCCCTGGTGCCACCCCTTGGTGGCATTCCAGCTGGTCACTCTGCTGCCACCACACAGAGCTGCAGGTGTCAGAATAACTCAGTTCCCAGTTAGCTCCCTGAACAGAATGAGCCTGGCCACTTCCCTCTCTGTTGGCAGGGACAGGTTGCTGGGCACAGGATCTCAGCCTGTGAAAGACGACTGCAGTCTGACTCCCCCCACCTTCTCAGGCAGCGGCTGGATGGCCACTGTGAGGTGCCCCAAGTGGGCTGTTGCAGGGCAGAGTGGCCACGGTTGTATCGACTCCTCCTCCCAGGAATAGTGAGAGAGCATAGAAATGATGCTAATGTCGCCCGAGGCTGGCTTAGCCCAGCTGAGAATGAGATGTGTGACATCTGAGGACAGTTCTCTGGGTTCAGGCTGCCTGGTCCTTTCTGTTTTGTAGTCACCTTGGCTCACCTGATGAGTGGCTTCTCATCTTAGTCTTCTGTGCAGTTGATGAGCCAGGGGGTGTTCTCACCACTTTTGTCTCTCAGAGCTGTCCTGTTCTTGGCTCCAGGGCCCTGAGGGTGGGAACTGTGTCAGAGGTGCCCTGTGAGAGACAGGTAGAGGTGGCAGGTACTTCTCCAGGTTTCCACAAAGAGATTCCTTCAACAAAGACCCCAGAAGAGGAGGAAGCTGGCCTGGGGGGTGTTTATTCTTGAAAGAAAAAGAGGAGTCAGTGCCTGGTCTGTGCCTGTCTGTGCTCCTGCCCTGTACTTACTATGGCTGTGGATATAAAAGGGGAGGTGATTGCTCACCCTTCCACTCTCCTCTCCTGACTCCCATCACTCAGTGACTGCTGAGCATAGAAACAATTAGCTGCTTCTCCATGACCACATGCTGCTGGCTCCATTCCCTCTCCCTGCTGAGGGAAGTCTTTCACCCAGGCCCAGGAGGCCTGGAGTCAGGCCAGGCCAGGCCAGAGGAGGACCAGGGACTCACTCCTGCCCTTATTCATGGTTAGCTTTGGGAAACATACAGCTCGTTTTGAGCCACATGTGCCAGCAAGGCCATCCCTTACCTTGTTAGTACAAGCTCTTGGCTCTGCAGACCCATCCCCTGAGAAGATGATGTGGCCGGAGATTTCATCCTCTTGTTTTGTCTCTGGAAAGCTCCCAGCCTTGCAGTGGAACTCTGCAGGGAATGTCAGGCAGATGCTAAGGAGCCCCTGTCCTTTGCCTTTGCCCATCTGAGCACTTGCTGCTGAGGACTTTCCTGTTAGTCATGCCCTTTCTGGAGCCACGATGTGCTGTGGTTTGTGTCAGTGGAGGGGCCACGAGGGAGGGAACTGAGGGACACCGTGGTTCAGTGAGTGTGAGTGGACGCGCCCAGTCCTGCACGGCCCGTGTCAGGTGTGCCTTGGGTCCGGGCTTCCTGTGCGAGGACACAAGCTCTGCAACATCTCCTCCGTCCTTCAGTCATTGCCACCTCTGATGTCCTCTGTGCAAAAGAGAATGACAGACAGGTTATTGCTAGAACCTCTCACAGCTCTACCTTGTCCACAACTCGGGCCCAACCAGAAAGCAGGAACCACTGTATGTATTTAAAACAGAGCAGTTTTAATCCTGAGATTTGTTTGACACAGAACAAGAGCTGAAACGGGAGCTGAGGCAATGTGGAGGTGGGGAATAACAGGAAGCTGCCACCACCCTGAGGCCACCTGGACAGAGTGAGGTGGCTGTGTTACCAGAGCCCAGGGGCCAAGGCCACCACCACAGAGGCCCATCTGGTAGGAACTGGAGCCATAAAGGGGCGCAGTCCCTGTCAGGAACACCCCCAGGCAGAGAGCAGAGAGGGAGAAAGAGCCTCTCTCTTCCTCTTGCCTTCTTAGATGATACATGGCCCATGGGCCTGGACAGCCACCTTCAGGGTCAGCACCAGCACGAAACAGCAGGGCAGGGGTGCAGAGGTGGTGCGGAGGGCACCCAAGGCCTGGCCTTGATTCACCCTGTGCCCTGTCTGTGGCCCCCTTGGGGTTTCGTAGAAAGGAAAGTGCTTTTGGGAGGGAGGGGGGAACCTTTATTCTTCACAGTTGTCCATTTCCCCTCAGGAAAGCCATGTCCTGGTTTTTTTGTGCCCTTCTGTCCCTCTCTTGTGCACCTCTGGTTTTCCTGGCCTGAGGTCACTGTCCCCAGCACGCCTCAGTGCCCAGAGTGCTTCCCTAGGCCAGCGCATTCCAGCATGGTCTCGGTGTGGACCGTCTGTCTGTACAAAATGCTGTCTACTAATCAGTTTGTATTGTGTTTCCAATAAATTTCTGGAAATTCTGCCTGGTTTTAGGCTGTCCTTTGCTGAAACGGTAGCTTGGCCAGGAGGCTCTGAACCTGCACACCCCAGGAACCCCTTGCCTCCATGCTCTGTCCCCCTCCTCAACCCCAGGGAAAGGGGAGGTAACAGGCCAGGCCAGGCCAGTTAGTCCATGTCCCCAGCCACTCGGGGACTCTACAGCCTTTCTCCAGGGACTGCATCTTCCTCTGTCTCACAACATGGCCTGAGCATACAGAGGGTCAGCAGGTCAGGTCACCTAATAGATGACCTTTGACCTTGTGCGTCCTAAGCCTGGCAGTAAGGGGAGCAACAGGCAGAGCTTTCCCCATTAACCACCACTGAGGCTAGGTCCTGGAGACACACACAGGGAGCTCGGGGCTGGTGCAGAGGGCCTCTGTGCCCCACTCAGGGCGGCTCTGTCACACTATTTTTGTGGGCTCTGCCTCAGTTGCTGTACTAGGACAGCAGGAGAAGATGAAGTGTGGCTTGCCTGAGACCCCTCTATCCCATGTATGACACTTGTTTGCTGGGCTTTGTGAGAGTTAAAAACAAAAACCAAAAAGGAGACACTGAGTTTCAAGAGTTACCATGGACCCTTGCTTGCTTTACTACCTTCTGCTTTCCATGAACTGTTTCTCCTCTGGGATGCTTGTCTGCCATGCCACCCTGCCTTGGAGCCTGCCAATTATGGACTGAAACCTTTACAAACTGTGAGCCAAATAAACCTTTCCTCCTTAAAAACAACAACAACAACAACAAATTCCCATGGAGAAGCAAGACATACCACACATTATATTAGTCGCCTCCCTTTTCTGGGACAAAATATCTGACATACAGCTCTGAGGAGGAGAGCTTTATTTTGGTGCCTTGTGGTGAATGGGCATGGCAAAGGAAAGCTGCTTGGCTCATGGCACCCAGGAAGCAGAGTAAAAGGGAAGGAGCCAGAGAGGAAGGGGCCAAGGGCTAGAAATGATTAGCAAGGTCACCCGCCTAGAACCCGCTCTGGCATACCCAGAAGTGTGCTTTACTAAACTAGGCCTCTCTCAAGCCAATCAAGTTGACAATGAAGATTAACCATCACACGTGAAGGTTGCTGGAGATGAAAAAATGTAATTAAGTGGTGTTGGGATGTGTAGGAGTCTGGGATTGAGGAGAAGGTACAGATGAACCATGGTCAGGGAAGGTTTTCTAGAAGCTGAGGTCCCTAAAGGTGGACACCGTAGCCCCTTTGGAAGAACTGCTATGGGCTGTGTCTTCTCCTGAGACCTGATAGTGCCTCCCTCTTTCTGAAGGCTTTTCTGCAGCTCAGTGTTGCACCCCCCAACCCCCAGCCCTGAGTTCCATGCCTGTGTTTTTATGGTCAGGCTTCCTAGAGAGCTGCTTCTCTCCTGTCTGCACCTGGGCAGTGGGATTCCTATAGGGAATCTGCTTATAATCAGCAGAGCTGTGGGTGCTTAACTCTCCAGGCCCCTTTTGGCTCCTGGCTTAGTGGTCCTTTTGTAGGTTTTTCTTTGGGAACTTGTTTTACTTCCAGAACCAGCTGTTCCAATCATGCGTTCCTCTCTAAACCTTCACCTGCTGAGAGTCAACCCTCCTAAGAACCTGGCAACCTTCTTCCTCTCTACCCCAAGACCTGCTGCAGCAGTGCCTTTCCCCCAGCTGAGGATGTGTCCTTCCACTTCTTGAGGACAGATCCTCCTGCCACCCTTGGGCTGGATCCATCCCCCACCCCTTTTGAGCCTTGCAGTAGAGTGTCCTGACTCAGGTTGGCGTGCCACTTACTAGCTGTGTGACCTTGGGCAAGTCATTCAACTTCTGTGCCTCAGTGTTCTCATCTGTAAAATGGGATAATAATAGTATCTACCTCCCAGGTCTAAGAAAATTAGTATGGGTGAGATGCTTAGTAAGATGCCTTGGTCATCTCATTCTCACTTTCCACAATAGTCACCTCCTTTCCCTTCTCCAGCTACATTCCAGTCTTCCCATTCAATCCAAGAAACAGTAGAACAGCTGAACCACCAAAACCTCTGCCCCGCGCACTTACCTTCACCTTACCTCCCTTTACTGACAAGTTTATTGAAAGGAGAAAGAGTTGTCTCCATTTCTGCAAACTCATTAATTCCTCAACCCATTCTAGTGCTCTCTGGCCCCTGCTCTGTCCCTCACCAAGCCACTCCCTGAAATTGCTGCCAATAAAGTCTGTAATGACTTCTAATTGCCAAAGCCATGCTCCTCTTAGCCACCCTGTCTGAGCAGCCAGAGCGTTTGGAGCTGTGGTTTTCTTCATCACACCAACCCCTTTATTCTCCACTCAGCAATGCTAAGTACATCCAGAGGTTACTCTTAGCTCTTTTTCCACAAAGATAATTTCACATAAGGTAGTAGTCACCTGTGTAACCCTCCCATTGCCACCTCTTGGTTTACCACTCTAACCCATTATACTACTAATGCATATGTATGAATCCATAACCAATACAGAACATGTTTGTGTATTAAATTTTATGTAAATGATAACCTATCACTTCTTTTTTTTTTTTTTGGTACCAGGGATCAAACTCGGGACCTTGCGCTTGTGAGGCAGGCAGTGGAACCACTGAGCTAAATCCCCAGCCCAACCTATCATTTCTTGAAAAGCTGTTTTTAAAAAGTAGTACTGTTCAGTGAATGCACTGTTGATGCAGTAGGGTGTCCATCGAAGATGCTTGACCAGACAAATGCACCTGGGTTTTCAGATTGCCTCCCTTACAGCCTGCAACTTGGAATCACTTTTGAAAATGCCCGGCCACCCACCTGGCTCCTGCCTGCCTCACCTGGCTCCTGGCCTCCAGATGTGTCCAGCTGGCCGAGGTACTCTGTGCTGGCAACAGTCCAGCGAGTGACCTCCAGGCCAGGGCTGACCAGTCCTTACCCCTGTGGCACTGCCCCCTGAAGAATCCCCTCAGTCCTGGAAGGCATCTCCTTTGCAGTCCATGGCACACAGATCAGGTAGAGCTCTGCTGCTTACTGGGCCCTGCAGCTCCTCCTGAGGCCCAGCAGGCCTGGCTCTGGTGGACGGAATAGGGCCGGAAAAGCAGCACAACATGCTCGGGGCCCAGGATCATCCTGGGATAGCTAGAGGTCAGGGAGCTATGGGAGAGCCATAAGCAGGGTCCCCAGGTGTACAGCCAGAAGATGGCCATGGAACATGCCAAGACAGTGCTGGGCAGGAAGCAGATGGCACAGACGGTCACCAGCATGGCCAGCATGCACACAGCCCTCTGTGGACTGCCCATCTGGCTGGCCAGGGACTAGGTGGTGAGCCTGATGCTCATGATGACCAAGAGGGGCCAATGGCAGTCACCTCTGCAGCATGTGCAGTGCCTGGTACCAGTGGAGTGAGTCTGAGGTTTCATGCCCTTCCTGTTACAGACTTGAGGGACTGGAATCAGTGCTGGGGAGTAGATTCTCTTGCGTCAGCCTTCTGTCACTGTGACAAAGTACCAGACATAAACAGCTTAAAGGAAGAAAGGCTTATTCTGGCTCACAGTTTTAAGTGTTCCAGTCCGTGGTCTGCTGCTTTAGGCCTGTGGTTAAGCAAAAACATCAAGGCAGAAGGATGTGGCAAAGGAAAGCTGGTCACCTCATGGCACCCAGGAAGCAGCATGAGTAAGGAAGGGCCTGAGAAAAGTTACACCCTTCAAACTCACACCTTCAGTGGCCCACTTCCTTTCACCTGGGCCCACCTCAGTTATGAACACTTAACTGGTCCATTCAGTTATGAACACTTCGACAAGATAACCTACTAATGAGGTTAGCGGCCTTATGACCTAACCACCTCTCTACAGATCTCTTATCCAGTAAAGTTGGCAATCAAGATTAACCCAGCCCTGAGTGAGCTGCCCCCACCGAGGTCCAGCTCAGCGCAACACCTTCAGGAAGCTGCTGAGCACACTGGCCTGAAGCCAGCTGAGCAACTGGGGGAAATTGTGAACAGGCTGGTGTCACAGGCAGTGGACCCAAAGTGTCAGGTCTCACAGGGAAGTGCTCGTTCACACGAGGGGGCAAGTTGATGATCAAGAGAAAACCAGCCATGACCAGGCTCACCAGGAACACTGATGCATGTCCCTGGCCCTGCGGGGAAGCAGAAGGTAAAGAGGGCCACACTGTTTCCCATCAGGCCCAGAACCGACTCCACACCCAGCATTGTGCCCAGAAGGCAGATGGTGGGAGAAAGTGAGGGGGCAGGGAAGCCAGGCCTCTCCTGAGGACCCCAGCACAGAGGTGAAGATGGAGGGAGAGAGGAAGACGGGGAGAAGGGGGCTCAGGCTGGGAAAGTCCATGGGCTGCTTGGGTCAGGGACCTGAGAGAAGATTCTGGAGTCTTTCTTAGCCCTGTGTGAGTGTTCAGGGAAGGGGGAGATGAGTGTCACCATCACTGGCCACCACAGTGACTCAACACCCTGGGTTTTCATTGTTGAAGACCCAGCGTTCCGGTTGGCAGGCAAGGGAGGACCCTGAAGCCCTCCCTCCACACTGGGCAGAGTGGCCTCACACTGGGGCTCTGAGCCAGCCTGCTCTTCCTGTCCCTGGCAGAGCCAAAGCAGGTTCAGCAGGGGTAAGATGAGGCTGGAGAAGCTCTGAAGTGGGAGGAGACCCCAGCAGGGGAGCGGGGAGGAGAGTATTCACAGCCCAGGGTGCTCAGACGTTAACTTCCCTAGCGCCCTGGGCAGTCAGGGTCACACACACCTCCCTTACATGTAGGGGGTGAGTGGCATCTCCTGCCCCTGCCACTGCTGGCTGCAGGTCCTCTGGAGCCAACAAAGAGGAGGCGAGGAGCCCATCAAGACCTCCACATCCCGCTCATGGCCTGGAGTGACCAGCGCTGCTTGTGCTGTCTGCCTGCAGTGTGTCCCCAACTCTGCTGTGTGTCCCAAGCCTGCTGCAGTCCAATCTTCAGTGGTTCCCAGATCCCTGATGGTTCCAGTCTGTGCACATAATAACGTATCCTTCAGGCAGAGGGCTCCTCTGCCAAGTTGCTACTGCCATGACATGGGATCCTGGGGGCTTCTCCCCAAAACAGAGCCACCCTGACAGTACTTGTGCCCCCCACCCCAGCATTCACTGTACAGTGGGGAGCGGGAGGTGGGCTTTGAACAAGGTACAAATGCTGCGGTCCCACCAAGAGGTGTTCTTTTGAGCTTACAGCTGGGCCCGTGGGTGGAGACAAGGTCTTGGGCTCCTGATAAACCGGGCTCTGGTGGTTGACAGGCTCCAGCAACTGTCACCGCCGGCCCTCACCAACTGGCTCTGGTCAGCAGCCTGCCATGTGCTGTCAACTCTGCCTTAGCCTCTGGGTTTCAGGCAATGTGGCCCCTGGCCCCTCTCCCAAGATCCTCTGGACTTCACTCCTACCCCAGTGTCCCATCTGACCAAGGCTGAGGGCAGAGGGGCTGTGACCACAGAAGCAGAGGCTTCCAAACCTCTCTGGGCCTCATTGTAAAGTCGGATGCCGTCCCCTTCTTGGGGAGTTTGAGGAGAATGTGAGATCATTCATGTAACAACTACTGGGCATGCCCTGGCATGGAGCTGGTGTTCAGAAAAAGAGAAGGCATCATTTTTGTGATCTCCTGTCTTGGATCAGGTCCGCCCTTTCCACTACTTTTCTCTGGGCTGCTGGGCTGTAACCTTTCTCCCGGGACATTCTGGGTTCTCCTGCTCGGACCATGGGCATTTGGAAGAGGCCGGTGGTGTCCCTTCTTGGATTGCAGGAGAGGAAAGCCTAGGGGTACAGAGGTGAGGAAGATGCCCTCATCCAAGGTCGGAAGCCCTGCAGCAAAGTCAGATCCCTATGGTATACTCAAAGCTGTGAGCCACCAGGGTAGGGTCACGGAGACAGGGTTCAGGTTCTCCTTTCTAGAGGAAGCTCTGGCTTCAGCCTGTTCTGTCCAGACCCAGCCTCTGTGCTGCCAGGTGACCTTCTCCAGCCTCTCACTGAAGTCCCAAGGTGAGCCTGGGCCCCTGCCCCCAAACCGTTAGTAGTGCTTAACCCTGGGTGGGGTGTTTTGTATTGTAGTGTTCCTGTGTTTTCTACAGTAGCACAAATCACTTCTGTTATTGGGAAGTAAACTCAACAAAGTGTTGTTTTTTAAGTTATGTAAAATCAACTAATCAATCAACCAATCAGTAAATATCTACAGTCACTTGGTGCTCCAATATCTCAGACACAGCACATCACCAGGGAACACAAGGGGTCAGACACCCGTGACAGGCTTCATGTGTGCTGACCCACTGGCCATCATTCACCAGGGGCCTTTATCATTTATTTTATTGTGATTCTTTTGTGATGCTGGAGATTGAACCCAGGGCCTCTGCACTGAGCGGCAGCCCCTGCCCCATTCTTTTTCATTTTTAGACAGGATCTTGCTAAATTGACCAGGCTGACATTGAACTTGCAATGCTCCTACCTCACCAGGAGCCCTTATTGAGGCTCTTCCTGGTGGCAGGCACGTGGACTGTGGGGACAGAGGGATGGGGCATCACTGCGGGGCTGATGGCTTTTAAGAGAAAGGGAAGCCACTAATACCCCAGGAGCTGGCATCCCTAGCTGACAGTGGCAGGAGGGTGCATGACGTGATGTCAGGGCCTGGCAGGGGTGCACTGTGGTGCTAAGCAGCCATATGCAAGCAACAGTGGAGGCCAGGAGAGTTGTTTGGCAGATGGCACTCGCGATGGCACCAAGGCACACCCTGGCTGCTTTGGACCCACAGCAAGAACATCACCCCAGCAGCTCCTTGCGGGCAGGATCCTGGGTCACAGACAGGGCCACAGAGCCTTGTGCTCGCTCCCACATGTACCTGTGGGGACACAGATGGCCAGGGGTTAGGCAGAGCTGGACCTCGAGGACTCCAAGGAAAGGAGAGCAGTCGTGCAGGTGGGGAAAGTCCTCCCCGCCCACTCACGAGGTCCCAGCTGGCACCAGGAAGCTGTCATCAGGGGCCAGGCCCAGGTGCTGTCCCCGCATTGTCACCACTGAGGAACCTTCCTGTGAAAACAAAGCAGGAGAATCCAACAGCTGTCAGGCCTCAACACCTGTCTGGATGTTCCAGGTCTGCCTTGCAGGGGAAGTTATGGGAGTTCCAGGCTCAGGAGCAGGCGGATCCCCATGGACAGGAGGGGGTCCCACCCTATCCCGGGCCCCACGTGCCAACTGCCACAGCCACACATCCACGTCCTCTCCTGGACCCTTGCTGCTGCCTTGTCCATGCGCGATTACCTGATGGGAGGTGAAACAGACTTTTCTGGCGCTTCCTGCCCCACATAGGAGATGGCCTTGACTCTGGCCACCACATCGGAGGCCTGAGCGGAGCAGGGCTGAGATCCGCACCTCCACGAGCAGAGATTGCAACCCATGGAAGAGGGCGCCCTGTGCACACCTGCCCCTCACACGCACATGTACCTGAGGCCCACCAGGGCACACAGGGTCACACAACCCTCAGCTCACCTCCCTCCCTTCCTTGGGTGTTGAAACTGGCAGAGGGAAGAGGGATGAGGAGGGTGAGGCTGTGGTCTCCAGGACCTGCGGGGCCCATCCTCCTGTGGCCTCAGCAGGACTCAGGGGGAAAGACTGTGGACGTGGACAGGAAGGGGAAGCGGTAGGAGCAGCACAGTGCAAGGGAGGCGGCTGTGGTTGTGACAGGAGGGGCTCCTGGTGCAAGTGTCCCTGGGACCCAGAATTGGGGCAGGCCTGTACCCAGGGAGTGTCCCTTCCGGGGTGAGTAATTCCAACTGCACAGGATGTGGGCACAGTGAACACAGGACTCCCTGTGCTCCCCACCTCCTGATCTGTCCCTCGAAGCACATACTTTTGGGCCTCTGTGCTCAATGCTGGGTGAAGCCCCGCTGTCTCTTGGACGAGTCCTCCCACCCTCCCACCTTGCAGGGCTAGCAGACCAGCAGGACCTGGGCCTGCCTGCCAGCACTCCACAGTTACAATCCACCTCATGTCCTCCCTTCCCCGCCCTGGCTCTTACCACCCCCAGCAGCTTGCAGTGCCGGGCTGATCCAAACCTCCACACCTCCAAGACCTCATGCTGGTCCCTCACCTAGAATGGTCTCTCTACCTCCCTTTCTTCCTTTGGCAAACTGTTGCACAAATTTGAAAACACTACTTGGGCATTACCTCCTCCAGGCAACCTTCCTTGACTACCCTCCTAGCCAGGGTTTGAGATTAGTTTTCAGTTCCCGGGGTTGCTGGAGATGCTCTGAGTGGTCCAGGGCTATATTACCTGAGTCTCATAGGTGTCCCCAAACAGGCTGAGGGAGGTGCCCGCCTGCAGCTCCCTGCGGTGACCATCCAGCCAGGCCTCCAGGGACATGGGCTTCATGACAGAGCGTGTGCTCAGCGGGAACGGCGGCTCCTTGAGAAGCTGGTCTGCACCGTGCACGGTTAGGTCAGTGTCCTCAGCGCTCAGCCCACCCAGCCCCACAGGGCTCAGATTCTCGGGGCCCCACACTCAACAGCCAGCTCCATGACCAAGTAGCCATGTGGGGTACTGACTGGTACTGTCTTAGCACCCTGGGAACTGGGCAGAGTACTCCAAGAGACTCCTCCTGGGGCCCAACACAGACCCATCTCACTGTGTATATGTGTGTGGGGAGCGTTTGCCATGGCCTCACCAGGGATGGGCTTTCCTGTCCTGTACTGCTCTGAGTGGAAGAACCTGCAGGGAAAGATCAGCACTTGGAAGTTCTGTACCGACCACCTTTCCCCTCCCAGCCTCTTGGCCTCAGCCCCACCCCACCCCAAGAGGAGGACGACTTCCCCCCAGTTTGCAGGCCCAAGGGCACTGCTGTAGAGCCCCAGGGCAATGAGGGGCAGGCTCCAGGCCAGGGCTCACTCTTGGATGATGGGGGCCAACTGCGTGCCAAGGTCCTTGCAGTAGAACCACTTCTCATACAGGATGTCCACAGTGTCCCCCACAAAGTACCTGCCAAAGCAGATGTTACAGCTTGTATCTACATGTCCCCCCAAAGCCTTATGCAGTCATAGGAGGGGCTTTTTGGAGGTCCCTGGATCTAGGGTGTGTGATAGTGGGACTGAGGGTGCGATGCTGGGATTAAGGATCCCCCACCCAGGGTGTGAGTGGAATATAAGGGACAGAAAGAGGCTGGCTGCCATTGCTTGCTGCTTTGCTGCCTTCCGCTTGGCCTGCTTTGTTTTTGTTGTTGTTATTGTACCAGGAATCAAACTCAGGGCCTCAAACTTGCTAGGTAGGCTCCATGCCACTGAGCTACATTCCCAGTCCCTGCCTACCCTGCTTTGCCATGGACTGTTTCTCCTGTATTGCCCCTCTGCCACGCCACCCTGACTTGGAGCCAGGTGACTATGGACTGAAACCTCTATAAACTGTGAGTTGAAACAAACCTTCTCCCCTTAACTCTGGGTGTTGGGTATTTTGTCTCAGAAATAAGAAAAGTAACTAAAACAGCAAAGGACAGGCAACCTGGCTCCCCATCTGGGCGGCTTCAGTGCAGCCCTGCGCAGGCCTGCCTCTGCTTGTGGATGTCTGGGCCCTGGCACTGAAGAGCCTGGTGCCTGTTTTACCTCTGTTGGTGCAGCTCAGTGGTTGATTTTCCTGCACACCTAAACCTGGCTTTTCCAAAGCCCACCTGTACCCCTTTGGAGAGCCGAAAGAACTCTGAAGCTCAGGGACGCTGGGTGCTGTGGCAGGGATCACACAGGCTGCACATGGCCAAAGCAGGCCTGACTCAAGATGGTCTTAGGAATTTACAGAGTATCTGGGCTAAGTATGTTTTTCCCAAAGAGGAAGCTGAAGTTGAGCCCGAATCCAGGGGTGGTGGCTGTATGCTCTCGGTCAGAGTAACAAACTTCAGCAGCCAGTGGAGATGTCCCCAAATGAGGTGTCTTCTCTCGGGTCGGGGATGCCCTTCAGAAGTGGAGCAAAGCTCTGGGCCTATTTGTCAGGTGGGCCTGTGTGCACACACACATGGCATTCAGTAGGCCCCTCAAGCCCACCTGGGCCTCACCAGGGCAGTGCCCTCCTCCCCTGGGCTGAGGAGCCCCTGAGCCTGGCAGGTGCCGGAAGCATCAGTCAACTGAATCCCAGGACCCAGCTCCCGGTGGGCCAGGTCTGTCTGCTCTTCAGTTCTCAAGAAAGAGGAATGGTCCTGCTGATGGACACGGCTTACAGACATGTGATCTGCACCCACCTGGCACCCTAAATTCCCTCTTATGTTGGAGTTGACTACCAGCAGCCTTCATAACTGGATTACAGTGCCCTCCAGGAATTGCTGTTGGAGTGGTATTTTAATGTTGAGTCCTGGCTTTTATTAAAGGTCAAAAGCAGCCAGATGAAATCCATTATAGGATTTGCTGTAAAATGTTATTGAGGACACTGTCCTCACATCACTGGAGGCTGCCTCTATAAAGCCCATTGGCTTAGAGAAATTCCTCTTAAACTTTAAGGCCTGATATCTGTCTCTAACAGACTATAACAAAATACTAGGCAGTAAATTATTATGCAGCCATTAATATTGTGTGGTGGTTTTATTTTTTTGGTGGTACTGGGAATTGAACTCAGGGAGTGCTCAGCTATACCAGCAGCCCTTTTTTGAGGCAAGGTCTCAATAAGTTGCCCAAGCTGGCCTTGAATTTGTGATCTTCCTGCCTCAGCCTCCCAAGCAGCTGGGATTACAATCCGAGCAACATTTTGTTTTTAAAATTTAATAATATGAGAAATATTCACGAGTTTTTTAAGTTAAGAAACAAAACTCACACAAATGCATGTAAAAGACTGCAATGTTGTCAGATATAGATATGCATAGAAAAAACCAAAATGGAAGTGTAAGTGTTTCTTTAAGTTTACTTTAGGGATATTTTGTTTTCTCTTTTATTACTTGTATTTTTTTGAGATATAATTCACATACCATAAAATCCACCCTTTTTGTAGCAAGTCATTTAAATTTTTGTTCATTTTGCATTTCTGTACTTTTCCAGATTTTGAGAGTGAATGTGTATGACACTGGTCATTTTTTAAATGAAGATTTTAAAATGTTCAATGTAACAAGAAATGAAGGCTAAAGAATTCTTTTTTTTTTTTTTTTTTTGGTACCGGAGATCGAACTCGGGTCCTCGTGCTTGTGAGACAGGCGGCGAAACCACTGAGCTAAATCCCTGGCCCTAAAGAATTCTGATTCCAGTAACTTGATGAGAAATTTAAATTTTCTTCATTAAAAATCTTTTGAAATTTCATTTTCAGCTAAGTCTTTGGTCCCCAGACCTTCAGTGGGCTTCTCCTTTCAGAGGATGATGGGGGAGCGGCTACGGCATCAGTGTCCACCCTAGGCCTGCATCCTCCCCCTTCATGGTGCTCACTCTGTCCTGGCTCTGCTGTCCTAGCCCTGACTTCACGTTCCTCTATGCTGAGCAGCCATGGTAGCAAGTTCCACTCTACCAAACTTGTCTCCCTGTGCGCAGTTTCTTCTCTGGTAAAGTATGGAAGATAACTGTACCTACCCCATCCGAGGTAGCCCATCGAGCTTCAATGAATAAATACACACAAAGCCAGCACCTGCCCCACAGCAAGTGCCAGCTCGATGTCCGGGGCAGAACTGATCTCCGGAAGCCGAGTGGTGGGGAGCAGCCATGTTTTGGCTGCTGGGTACTGGGCTAGGTGCGTCCCCCTGAGTCCCCCTCCCCTCCCAGCAGACCTCAGGAGAAAGCACAGGTTCTGACTCCAGCCTGTGAGGGCTCCCAGGGGCCTACAGGGATCACCCTACACACATACACACACACACACACACACACACACACACACACACACGCACACACGCACACATACCCCTTTCCACCTAGCCCTGTCAGCCAGCCAGGCCTTCCAGGGCACCCTGCCTCCAAGCCCTCCGCTCTCGATGGCTGGAAGTGCTTTCTGGACTCTCTCTCCCATTCCCTCTGCCCGCCTCTGACCACCCTCAGCTCCTGGGACAGGGCGTTACCTGAGCCCATCCTGCTCTGTCTCCAGCCGCCTCCGCTCAATCACCAGCCCCATGGTGTTGGCAAACCTCTGCGGGGAGTGAGGCACCCTAGCGGGCAGCAGGAATATCTGCAGCGGGAGAGCCGGGCCCACAGGGCTGCGATCCCTTACAGGGACCTCAGGGCCCGCAGCATCTGGGTATCCTAGCTGACCCACTCCCGCCCACACATGCCTGCTCTCCGCCAGCCTCTTCCCCCTGCAGGGCATCTCCCTCTGTGCTGAGGTCGGGGTGGGGCAGTCAGGTGCGCAGGAAGGGGCAAGGGGGCAGGGCCTTGGCCCGCTCGCCGCTGAGTCCACCTCACCTCCCCCTGCCGAATGACCACATCCCGGTGCTTCCCTTGCTCCAGGATACGGAGAACCATGTCCCCCTCCAGTTGGTAAAACACCTGTGGAACAGCAAAGAGCCTGGGATCCTCCCTGTTTCCTCTTCCATGTCCCTGACCAGAACCTGAGGAACTTCCCGAAGGCCCATCTCCGCTGCCCTGAGGCCCTCAGTCCCCTGACCCAGGCCACAGACAGGAGGGCTAAAGTCACGTGTCTCAAACAAGGTACCGTGTCTCAAACAAGCCGGTAATGATCCAAATACTCAGGATGCAGGAGCAGGTTCAGGGCATGGGGCAGGAGACTGAGGGAGGGGCTCGATGTGGAAATCCAGGTGAGGGAACCATCCGTATACTGTGAGTCAAGGGCTGTGCCAAGTGCCTTCCTGGACATTATCAGAAATCTTTACAGCAGAGTGTGGTTGCACACACTTGTAATCCCAGCACCCTGGGAGGCTGAGGCAGGAGGATTCCAGATTAGAACCCAGCCCGAGCACTTTACCGACTTAGACTGTCTAAATTTTTTTTTAAATGGCCGGGATGTAGCTCGTGTGAAGTCCCTGGGGTCAGTGCCCAGTACTACAAAACAAAACAAAAACTGCGCCTCTGAATAACTGCCAATAAAAATGGGAAAATGTTATTGTTATGATGTTGGTGTCTCACGCAGTGATATGTCTAGCATAAGCACTGTGCTCACAGGGGCTCCTCCTGAGTGGTGGGGTTAGGAATGAGGTAAGCATTTTTCTTTCTGTACTTCTTATGTTTTCTACAATGAAAAATATTTACTTCCGTTATTATAAATACTGCAAGAAAAAAACCCTACTTGTTCCCTTATAGGGAGCCATGGATCATGCCCAACCTCCTCCCCAAGCTGTGAAGAAACCTGTGGGGTGTGTGTGTGTGTGTGTGTGTGTGTGTGTGTGTGTGTGTGTGTTGTGCCCTAGTATTGTCAAGAGGAGTGAAAGAGGGGCCCCAGAGTTCTGGGGAGGGGGCAGTCTGCAGTGACGTTTAGGCTGGATTCAAACCCTCTCCAGACAGGCTACACGGTATCAGAGGCCATGGAACAAAAACAGCAGAAGGTGTCAGAATTGTCCTGTCTTGTCCCTGGCCAGCGGTGTCCCTGTGACTAGGGGCAGGCCTGGCCTGGAGCAGAGGACAGATCACTGACAGCAGCGCTGTGGGCAGTGAAGCTGCTGGGAAGTATGCAATGTTCAGAGGCCTGTGGATAGCTGGAAGGAGAAGTGTACCGCTCTGGCTGATATTAGCTACAGTCTGGCTTCCCGGCCCTGGGAAGGCTCTATCTATGGCAGGCAGATGGAGAGGGGTGAGGAATGGGGGAACAGTGCCTCTGAGCACACTGAATCCTTCTGCCCAGCATGGCCATGGTCACATGTGCGGCCAGGACAGGGTCAGGGAGGGCACCTGACTCGATCTGTCTAGGATGGCATGGTTAGTAAGTGGTTCATCTGCCCCCAAGGAAGGAGTGGGCTCTGTGGGCTCAGAGCAGTGGGTGAGTGGCACTGGGGGTTCTGCAGGGAAAGGAGCTGGAGACTTGGGAGGGCTGTCGCAGAGGCTACAGCTCAGTGAGGAGGAAAATCTGGCTCAATAAGAGGTGTGATTTGAGGGCCGGGGATTTAGCTCAGTGCTGCCTCCGCCTGGCCTCGAAAGCGGAAGGTCCCAAGTTCCATCCCCAGTACCAAAAAAGAGGTGTGATTTGAACCCAGATCTAAGCAATTCCTCAGAATCTACCTAGATGAGGCAGGGAGAGAGTAGACGCTGCCTAGTTCTGAGGCCACCCAGGATCTGTGCCAGGTATGGTACCTGGCCCTCCTATTGGGCAGGACCACACCATCACAAAGCTATGCCCAGCCAGACTCCTGGCCACCTGAGTGTCCTTCCAGAGTGAGGACATCTGCACAGCCAGCCCCATCATCCCTGAGCCACCAGCTGGGACCCAGCTCCTCTCCATCTGCCTGCCTGCTGGGCTGCCCAGGCCTCAAGGGATACTTAGCCACCGGCAGCACAGAGACCAGGAGATGGGTGTGGGGCAGAGGGTTAGAGGCAAGAAGGGAAGGAGGTGGGGAGATGTGGAAGTGGCATCAGGGCCAGAAGGGCGACTGAGCCCCTGGAGGGCGAGGCTGCCTGAGGCGAGTGGAAAGACCACTCCCGGCCTGCCTTCTCCTCTCCGTCATCTCCACAGAGGAACGTGGTTCCCGGGGAGGCCTGTATGTGAGCAGGGTGCCCGCAGAGGGACAAGGCCCAAGGGGGGATGAGGGGCCTGGAGCCCATGGTCAGGGGCCCTGAACACGCTGGGTGCCCACGCACATACGCTGCCCGAGCGATTCTCCAGTGCTCGCTTCATCTCGGCTTGTGGGAAATGCCACCAGAGGCGGCGGAGGCTGGGGACAGAGCTGGACCTTGCCATCTGGAACCCCACAACTGGGCGTCCCTCAAGACGATGGGGGCTGCTATACTGATCTTTTTCCACGAGAGACTCTGTTTGCTGGGAACCTGTTTGTCTCTCCTATGGGGCCATTCCTCACTTTCCATTTTATTTCTGTCTATATATTTTTTGGTTAGGTAGAAGAAAACTACAGTTCAAAATTCAAGGTGTGAAAGGGTGCTCAGTGCAGTCCCTGCCCCCACCCCCAGGTGACATAGCCCCAGCACCCTCTAGGTAAGGAAGGGCCTCCAGCCCCAACCCCTTTCCTCAATCCATGCCCACTTGCCTCTTGCTCCTCCTCCCTCACCCCCCTCCTGGTCCTCTAATCCCCTCCACCCCAGCCCAGCCCACCCCCACTTTGTGTCCTGAACTTTGACCCTGTCTGCAGCGGGGAGAACCTGGCTCCTGGCATCGAAGGGGAGACCTAGTCTAGGGCCCCTAGTGCTAGGGGCTCATGTGGAGGCCAATCGCGCACATAGAAGTCAGGATGGGGAGCGCTCGGAGTGGGGACAGCCTGTGCCCCAGGGTGGATGCCAAAGGTGTCACTGTGCAGGCCCACTGCCGCAGGGCCAGCAGTTCTCTTATGACCCAGTTGTCCCCTCTGGCTGCAGTCACCTGTCCCCATCTCCAGTCCATAATCTCTGGCCCTGGCGCAGAAAATGTCTCCTTCCCCCGGGGACCCAGGCCTCAGTTGGGACAGGGGCACCCGAAGCCTACCTCCTCACCCTCCTCGATGTGATAGTCCTTCCTGATGTTGGGGCCACCAACGAACATGATTTTGAGCTGCTCCTGGTGCCTGCAATGGATGGGGAGACCCTGGAGTGAGGAAGGAGGGGGTACAGGAGGGCCTGGAACCCTTGGGAGAAGGAGCTGGTCTCTGTGCCCCACCCTCATCCCAGCTGTCTGTGACTGTGTGTGTCCCCATAACTTCTGACCCAACGGGGAACAGCATGGGGGTGGATCTATGGCTTCTCCACTCAGGGTCCCTGGGCTGTGTGCAGGGTCTCCAGTTCCAGGAGCGCATACTGGAGCCCCTGTGCCGCCTGGTTAAGAGACCCTCTGCTCCCCACTGGCTGGAGGCCTGACTCAGGGGACTCAGGAGACTGTGGCATCTAGCAGGCTCCTCAGATAGCACCGAGGCAGTGTGGCATGTGTTTAAAAGTACAGGTGCTGGGCCAGGGATTTAGCTCAGTGGCTCAGCGCCTGCCTGGCAAGCGCGAGGCCCTGGATTCGATTCCCGGTACCAAAAAAGAAAAGTGAAAAAAAAAAGACCAAAAAAAAAAAAGTACAGATGCTGTAGCTAGCCTCCAGGGATTAATGTGGCTTTACCATCAACCTCAGGCTTGTTACTTAACCTCGCTGGCCTCAGTTTCTTCATCTGTAAAATGGAGAGACACCTCTTACTTCAGAGAGTTTAAATGGATTATGTAAACTCATATCTGGATTATGTAAACTCATATCTCAGAACAGTGCTTTGGGTATGGGAAGCACTGTTTAAAACATGCTAAAATAAAGACGCCTAATGCAACTCTCTTGTTTGCAGCTGACTTTACAAGCTCAGAGAGGGTCACATAGCTTGAGACCAGACAAGAAATGTGAACATGGACACACAGGCAGTGCCTGTGAAGATGAAGGTGGAGATGGTGTGATGTGGTAGAAGCCAAGGAATGCCAGCAATGCCAGCAAGCCAAGGGAAGTGGGGAGAGGGCACCAGAGTCCCGACAGCCCCAGCCAGCACACACATGGTGACAGCAGTCCTCACTCTGACCTGTGGCCACCAGTCTGCCAGCCTTCATCTCCATTCTTTGTTTATATTTGTTGTTTCCCTGACCCAGAACATCAGCTCCCCAGGAGGGTATTTTTATCTGTTTCCTGTTGCATTCCCAGTGTCCAGGCCAGCCTGGCAGGCAGTAGGTGCTCGGTGAACATCTGACTGCATACAGAGAGGGCCTGCGTTTGTGATGACTCCTACGGGGCAGTGTTGCAGGTAGGGGCCGTGGGGCTGGAGAGACCGAGCACCCTGCGTCACCCAGGCTAGAGGTGACCAGGGTAGAATGGGGTAGTGGCCATGAACTGGGCAGGAGCAGATGGAGTGAGGTGGTATCTGGGGAAGAAACTGGAGGACTCAGGATGAGAAATGGTGGACAGGGATGAAGTGGAGGAAAGAGGCAAAGATGATGCTAAAGCTAGGGAGATGTTGCCTGTTAGCCACACAGGTGACCCAGAGCGTCCTTGGACTTTGTAGTCAAACTACTGCATAAGCGTGAGTCTGGACCCTGTCCTGCAGCAGCTCTGTGACAAAGTTACTTATTAAATCCCACTTCTCTGAACTCCTGTGAGAATGATACGAGGTGATGCCGCTTGGAGTCTGTGGCCGGGGCGGGGGGCAGTGATGGTAGCCTCCGGGGTGGAGGTGACTGGCAGATACAGCAAATTCGGGGGATGTGGCCTGAATGTGGGAGCTGAGGGACTGGGGAGGGAGGAGACCACGGGGAGGGCCCCAGAGGTCTTAGGGAGAAAGATGACTGGGCCAGGTCAGCAGCAGAGGTGACCTAGGGAGGTCTGTTGTGAATTTGTGAGTGTGTGTTTGTGTGCTGGTGCACACATGCGGCCCTGCAGAGAGGGCCTGGGAAGAACAATAAATCAAGATCCCCCAGAGAGCTGATCCTGGGACTTCACCTTTTGCTTGTGGCCTCCTGGACGGGGCTGGGAGGGGGGCGGAGGGGGATTCAGCTGTCCCCAGACCCAGGTTCTGCTGTCATTCTGGGCACTGAAAGTCAGCTCCCCAACTTTTGAGTTTCCTCAAAGTGCACAGAAGCTGCTTGAGGCTGGAGAGCTGTCGCTTGGGAGAAGGTGCCCTGTGCCGCCTCATCTCTCACAGCATCAGAGCCAAGGCCACGGTCCCCACTACAGTCCCCAGAAAGAGGAACAGACCGAGGCTGAACCCGGAACAGTCGTCACCGCTGAATTCTGGCGCCAGGAGAACAGCAGCCCCCTTTTTCAGGCTCCTGGGTCAGGAGACTCACTCAGAGCAGGAGGGCGAAGGGCTCGGAGCAGGAGGTGAGGTCAGAGGGGTGGATATGGGGGTCCCGGAGACTCACATGAGCTTGTTGCAGACTGGGGGCTGGAAGGAGGCCCGGTTCTCCTCCACCCAGGTTTTCACGCCCACGCGGTGCTCCATGCCTCCCGCCCGGCCGTGGCCTCTGGGTGTGAGGCCTCCGGGACGGGACGTAGCGGTCGAGCGTGTCCTCCCGCAGTAGGGAGAGAACTGCTCTGCCCTGCGCCCAAGGGCTCTCTCCCGTCAGCATCCCGGAGGTCAAAGGGCGGAGCAACGCCCACCACTCCGCAGCGGGCTTGCCTGGAAGCACAGAGCTGCGGCTTGGGCCCCCCGCAGTGAGGAGCGGGATTGGTTGGTCTGCAGGGCGGGGAGCAGCGACCTGGCCAGCATCCTGGGGCACTCTGCACCCGGGCTGGAGGTGGGAGTCTGCCCCCTCTAAGGAGTGGGATCCAGACCCGTCCTGGTTTTGTCTCCAGGCTTTCCGGCTGAGCCCCGGGGGATCCCCAGCGAGGCCCCAAAGAAATACTGTAGCAAGCGGAAGGACCCGAGTTCGTTCCCCGGTACCAAAAAAAAAAAAAAAGAAGAAGAAGAAAAAAAAGAAAAGAAAAGAAATACTGTAGCGAGGAGGCTGAGTATGGTGGCGCACACGCCTGTAATCTCAGCACTCTGGAAGGCTGAGACAGGAGGATGGAAAGTTCGAGCTCGCTCGGCCTGGGCAATTAGCGAAACCTTGTCTCAAAATACAAAAATAGAAAGGCCTGGGGATGTAGTTCAGTGCTAAGGCCCTGGGTTCAGTCCCCTGCCCCGCAAACCCAAAACTGTAGCGGCGAGAACGCAGATTTGAAATCCGAGAGCCTGCGCAATGGTGTTGACACTGGATTGAAGTCTCAGTTTTCTCATCTGGAAAACGGGAGGGATGAGCCCCGCATAGAGGCTTCGGGGGACAGGGAAGGGAAGGTGTGCGGGCGCTGAGCCCAGATCAGGCCGGCACATTGTGCCCCCTCCGCCCGAGGTCCACAGGAGCGCGGCCAGGGCGGGGGAAGCGGTGGCCGGCCCGGGCCGGGCGTAGGAGCCGGGTGCGGGACAGGGACCCCGGGCGCAGGCATGTGTTGGGGGGGGGGCACTGCCCTCTTCGCTGTTCTGAGCTCCTTACCATGCCTGAGGACTTGGACAGATGAAGCGGGCCTGGGTGTGGGAGCCCTCCGGACTCTTGGGTTGCAGCGGGCAGACAAACCTGTGCTAGATTATAGTCCTAGGAGGGGCCTTATCAAGGTGGTCCCGGGGCGGGAGGGGTGGAGTGGGGGTGAGGGGCAGTTGCCACCTGCCTTTCCTCTCTCCTCCCCAGCAGAATTTTTAGGAAAATTGGAGGAGGGTGGAGTGGGCCAGTGATAGGTGGGGGAAAGGGAAAAGAGCCGAGGCTCTGACACCAGAATGTGGACTGCAGAGCTGCAGAAATTCTAACTCCTCCAGCTGTCCTCACACCCACCCGTGCTCCTGCTGCCTGAGTGGGGCTGCTGTTCTCCACCCTGGGGACCGAGGGCTCCCGGGTACACGTCCAGATCCTGACAGACATGAGGCAGGATTCCCACCCACCTGGCAAGGACTCCCTTGTTTGCGCTCCACCACCTCACCCTTCCCTTCATTTTAGTTATTTATTTAGCACATTTGAGCATTTCCTTCTCCAGTGTGGTTTGGTGCCCAGAGCACCTTATTTTTCTCAGCGGAGGTGTAAACAATGACACATGAAACACCAAGGATCTATAATGTATTAGGTTTGTTTTGAAAGTTTGTTAAATTGGAGGGATGGGTGGGTGGGTGGATGAAGGACTGAATGAATGCAAACTGAAAGGAGAGAAAACCCCTGCTTTCGGTTCAACAGATGTTCTGTTACACAATACAAAGGAAAGAATGACGGTCACTCTATATTTTAATTGATGTCAAACAATGTGAATAATTGAAGCCCTAAGTAGAATTTGGGGATCTGAATTACCCAGATTAATCTGCGTGCAGTCTATACCATCACTGTCCAATCTGCCCGCTGGTTTGTGCCATGTAGGTAAAACACCACATCTAGTCTACTCAATTGGCAAACCTAGTTCAGGGGGTGATCACCATTTGATTTCAATAAAAATAATGATCAAGATTATTTGAGTAACTGTTTAATATTTTTTATTTCTGAAAGATATGTTCAAGTCTCCCATGTAATATTTGATCAGTTTCTCTTCATACGTTAATAGGTTTTGCTTTACATATTTTGAATCTATGTTGTTAGATAAATAAAAAGGTTCATGATTATTTTATCCTCTTGTCGTAGTGTTCCTTTTTTTTCTTTTCTTTTTTTTGTACCGGGGATGAAACTCAGGATCTTGCTCCTGCAAGGCAGGTGCAGCGCCACTGAGCTAAATCCCTGGCCCTGTAGTGTTTCTTTTAACACTAGGAAATATTTCACCTTGACTTCAGCTTTGGCTGATACTCATACACCCGTTCTGTGTGTTATTATTTTCCAGGCATGGTCCCTTGAATGGAAAGCTGCCATAACCATTCATTCCCTTCCCAAATCCATACTCCCTGTCTTGGGACTTTGCATTTTTCCACTGGGACATGGAACCCATTTCCCTGCCTGTTGAATCATGGGTGCCATTGTGACATGGTCTGATTGTGTAAGGCACCAGAACTGATGTTGTGACACATCTGAGACAGGCCCCATGAGGCCTTGTGGCTGCTGAGCTCATCACCTGGCATGCTGCTGCTTGAGGTTTAGGGGCCCCATGGTGAGAAGGCAGCCAGTGTGGATGACTGCAGGCCTGGTGACCCCAGGGGAGACTGGCAGGCCTGCCCAGCTGAGCCCAGGTCAAGTTGCTGACACTGCAGCAGGAGCAGATGATGTGATTGTTATTTTAAGTCATTTGATTTGGGAGGTGGTTTATTGCTTTACAGGAGATAACAGAGACAAGAGAGATGTGTAATTTTCCCATAGCTGTCCCTGCCATTTTGTTTTAGATATACCTCTCATGAAGGGCACATTGCTAGTTTTAAAAGTCCAGCCTGATAGTCTAGCAGCTGGATTCAGTCCTTTCATATTTCATGTTTAACTATTGAAATATTTGTACCATTAAAAGGGAAAACTCTAAAGGCAAATTATTCAAATAGAGTTTATTTGAGCAAAGAAAAAAAGCAATGTAAAACAAAACAAAATAAAAATGATTTACCAGTACAGCAGTTCTCATGATCAGAGCAGGTTGTAAGAACCCCAACCAATGATGGTATCTGATGTTATTTATAGAAAAACAGAAGTGATGGGCCGGGGACTTAGCTCAGTGGTTTCGGATTTAGCTCAGTGGTTTCATTGCCTGCTGCGCAAGCACAAGGACCCGAGTTCGATCTCCGGTACCAAAAAAAAAAGAAAGAAAGAAAGAAAGAAAGAAAAACAGAAGTGAGTTTAGCCCGGCATGGTAGGGCATGCCTGTAATTCCAGCACTCCATGGGGTTGAGGCTAGAGGGTTGCAAATTCCAGCCCAATTTGAGCAACTTAGTGACTCAATGAAAATAAAATAAAGAGGGCTGGGGATGCAGGTCCACGTAAAAGCTCAGGTAAGATTACCACATCACCACTACAATAACAACAAAAAAGAAAGGGAGAGAGAGAGGGAGGGAGAGAGGGAGAGAGAGAGAGAGGAGAGAGAGAAGTGATCCATAGAAAACAATTTAAATTGGCTATAGTTTAATCAAACAGCCAGCCAGTTGGTTAAGCTGAACTGGTTAATTGGTTACAGAACCTCCTGCAACCAACCAGAGCTCAGTTACTGCCATTAGACTCTATATTGGCTTGGTCTGTTGAGCCCAGAAAAGGTGTTCATGGCCTTTCCACAACTTATATTTAACAGTACTTATTCTGACACCTTATTTTGGGTTTTATAATGACCATGCTGTGTTAGTTTCCTATTCTGTAATAAATTACCATAAACTTAGTGATTTCAAACAATATCAATTTATTATTTTATAGTTCCAGAGGTCAGGAGTCTTCATGGGTCTTACAGGATAAAATCTAGGCCTTGTTACAGCTGCATTATCTCTGGGGGTTCTAGGAAAGACACTGTTTTGTATCTTTTCCACCTCCTAGAAGCCACCTGCTTTCCTTGGCTGGGGTAACTTCCTCCTTCCTTAGAGCACCTCACTTTCCTCTCATTTTTTTCATGTTTCTTCTCTGACTCTCCTGCGTCACTCTTTCCCATTTAAGAATCCTGGTGATGACACTGGACCCACCCTATGCCTTGATTTAATCACCCCTGCAAAGTTCCTCTTTGAGATGAAGTTAACATATGAATGGACTCTAGGGATTAGAGCATGGAGAGTTTGGGTGGAGGATATGGGGCATTGCAATGTTTACTACACATACCTTCTTGTTCTTTTTTTCCTCTTTCTTGCTCATCTTTCATGATGCTCATGTCTGCAAGTTATAGAGACTCCAGTTAAACAACAGCTTAACTGACAGAAAGTTTAAAAGTTCTTATAACTGGGCACTCAGAGACAGAGCAAGATGGTAACTGAGCTGCAGCATCATGGACCCTGGTTCTTTCCAGCCTTCCAGTCTGCTCTGCACAGTATCAGCTTCATCCCAAGGCTGGTTCCTCAAGTGGTCAAGTGATGATCACCAGGAGTCACTGGGGGTTGATGCTGCCTATTCACACCCATGGAGGAATGGAGCCCTGAGTGCTCACAGCTTTCCCTGTGGACCAGGGTCTCTCGATGCTGGCATTACAGATGCTTTGGGCTGGATAACTCTTTTGCTGTGGGGCTGCACCTGTATCAGAGATGTTTAGCAGCAGCCCTGGCTTCTTTCTACTAGATGCCAGTAGCTCATCCCATCACCCTAGTTAAGCTTATCTGGTTATTGTTTACGGACCTCCTGCAACCAGGAGGATTGGGACAAAAACATCTTTAGAAATTTCCACATGTCCCTGGGAGGGGCCAAATTATCCCACATGAGAAGCAGGTGTATTTACGGGACATAGGAGGCTCACAGGCCTATACCGGAACCAATTACTGAGGTAAGGACAGTGGGAGACTTTGATTAGCTCGGTCAAATTGTGGTAGATACTTAAAGCTGAAGGTGAAGCCAACTCCTCCAAAGACCATGGTCCTCTGCTTCATGACTGGGTGATGGGAAAGAACGCTTGGGAGGCAGCTAACAATGGCCAGCATACGTGGCATTGAGTAGGTTGTCTTTGATCCATTTCCCTTCTACACTCC